CTGGGTGTAAGCTTGAAAGACACCAACTTTTAAAGGGTGGATAGGAAAAGAGGGGCCCAAGAACAAGTGGCCAGAGACATAGGATGAAATTTAGGAAGAGATTTGAATCAGATCCAAAGGAAAAAGGGAGACTTTTTAAAAGTTGAATTGTTTCCAGACACCTGAGGGGCTGGCTATCCCAGAAAAAGAGTGAACAACTGAGGCATCAGTGGGGAGGACTAGGCTCAAAGGGTAGAAATTCCAGGGAAACAAATTCTGGGTCAATATAAGGAAGTCTTTTCTAGCAGGCTTTGGGAATTAGGCATTCCCAAAGTTAAGCAGGGAACTCCCTGTCACTGGAAGTATACAGAGGCAAAGTATGCCAGGGGATTATAGAAAGAGTTTCTTGCCCAGCCAGTGTGGCTAAGTAGTTGAGCATTGACCTATGAACTAAGTCACGGTTCGATTCCCGGTCAGGGCACCTGCCCGGGTAGCGGGCTCCATCCCAGTGGGGGACGTGCAGGAGGCAGCCAATCCAGGATTCTCTCTCATCATGGGTGTTTCTCTCTCTCTCTTCCTTTCCCTTCCTCTCTGAAATCAATAAAAATATATTTTTAAAAAATTTAAATGACAAAGCCGCACCCTACAGGGGACCTTTCCTGTCCGATCTGGTGGGAAATTATCTCACCAAACACTGAGCCGGCCATTGAGGGTCCCTGACCTTCCCCAGTCCTTGCTGAACGATGACGTCACCAAGCTCACCCTGAAGGCCCATGGCCCCACCCACTTTACCCCAAATGCTACAAAGCTTTGGCCCCCAATGGGAGGGTCTGGGGAGCTGGAGCCAAGACTGCCGGGAGCTCGGGCACCGGGGACAGAGGTCCTAAGGCCCAGGCACCATCGGGGTCCCCACGTCCAGCCGGGCGGCCAGGCCGAGGCCCAGGTCCTCACGGCGGTTTTTGCTCTGCCTGACCCCAGCTCCTCGGATCACTGCCCTCGGCTCTGACCCCTGAACTCGGGGAGGTGGGGGGTAGGGGGGGGCCCTCTGGGATGTGGGGATTAAGGACAACTTTCCTGATGACTCAGCTCCCCTCCTTCCCTGAAGAAGGAAGAGAAATGTAGTCAAGGTGACCAGTGAGAAGGCGCCAGAGACGAGGACGGGTCTCTGCACCCTTTGTTCCCCACCTGGCTGACAGGGACGCGGGGCTGCCTGTGTGAGCAGGGGTCCTGGGGTCTGCATTTTTATGTCTTATTTTTAAACATATTTATATTGATTTCAGAGAGGAAGGGAGAGGGAGGGAGAGAGAGAAACATCCATGATGCGAATCACGGATTGGCTGCCACCTGTACGCCCCACACTAGGGATTGAGCCCACATCTGGGCCATGTGCCCTGATTGGGAATCGAACCGTGACCTCCTGGTTCCTAGGTCGGCCATCTGAGCCACGCTGGCCGGGCCGGGGTCTGCATTTTTAGGCTGAAACGAAGAGGCACCTCCTGGTTGCATTTCTGCCTTGCACCAGACCAGCCTTTTTATCAAGTAAGGATGACAATGACATTTATATGATAATAGGTGATAGTATTTATTGAACGCTGACACTTATCGGTGTTCAATAAATGTTACCAGCGTCCAGCCGGTGTGGCTCAGTGGTCAGCGTCGACCTATGAACCAGGAGGTCACGGTTCGATTCCCAGTGAGGGCACATGCCCGGGTTGCGACTGAGCATCGACTTATGAACCAGGAGGTCACGGTTCGATTCCCGGTCAGGGCACAGGCCCGGGTTGCAGGCTCCATCCCAGTGTGGGGCGTGCAGTAGGCAGCCGATCCATGATGCTCTCTCATCAACGATGTTTCTCTCCCCTCTCCCTTCCTCTCTGAAATCAATACAAATATATTTTTAAAAAATAAAAAGGAAAGCAGGGCGTTGAATGTTGGTGTTTGTTATATACACGCAGTGTTTTCCCCAGTCACCGCGGGCGGGGACCGTGGGCGGGGATCGCGGGTGAGACCGGCCGGTGCGCTACTCACTGAGCAGGAGGAGGGAGAACCCGCACAGGTGCCCCCAGGGGATGTTGGAGAAAGGGCTCCAGTACTCGATGCGGGTGAAGTAGAGGACGACGGGGACGCAGGAGACGAAGAGGACGTTAAACACGCCCAGGACGGACAGGAATAAGGCGGCTTCTCCGAACTTGGCGCTGCCCAGGAGCAGCTTGAAGAGAACCTGCGAGGAAGCGGAGAGGCTGCAGGCCCTGCCGGCCCAGCTGGGACCCGGGGAGGCAAGGCCCTGGAGCCGGGGCTGGACCGCAGGACGGAGCCACCTGACAGCGGGTCCCACCGCCAGGCCTGCAGGGAAGGGCGGTCAGACCGGCGCTCACTGCCCACATCACAGATCCAGTGACATCACAGATCCAGTGACATCACAAACCCAGTGACATCACAAATCCAGTGACATCACAGATCCAGTGACATCACAAACCCAGTGACATCACAAATCCAGTGACATCACAGATCCAGTGACATCACAAACCCAGTGACATCACAAATCCAGTGACATCACAGATCCAGTGACATCACAAATCCAGTGACATCACGGTGGAGTTCCTCTCCAGCTGCTTGGAGAGGGAGCCCCTCATGAATCGTGGGTTCACACTTGTCCGCGTTGCATTCACAACACTGCACCCCAGCTTCAGGGTGAAGACGAGGCAGCCACTCGAGTGAGAAATCTCACCCACGATCACACATGCCTCTTGGGGACCCTACAAATCCATCTCTGGCCCGGCCGGCGTGGCTCAGTGGGTGAGCATCGACCTAGGAACCAGGAGTCACGGTTCGATTCCCGGTCAGGGCACCTGCCCGGGTTGCGGGCTCCATCCCAGTGGGGGACGTGCAGGAGGCAGCCAATCCAGGATTCTCTCGCCAGGCCACAGCCGGGTGGGCCTCCGCTAGGAGGGGCCGGAGGTCGTGCCCCGGGGCCCCCACGCTCTCACGCTGTGGCCGCTCTCCCTGCCCCAAACTGCCTCCTGAAATGGGGGAGGCCTCTGCCAACCACCAACCGG